AGCTGCTCCAGGGCTGTGCAGCTGCAGAGTGATAAGACCAGGGGGGCACACATTCCTGGTGAGAGTTTGTCTTCTGTCACCCTGAAACCTAAAGCCTTCTGATAATATTTTCATAGTTTTAGTTACTTTCCCATGAAAGTTCTATAAACATAAGTTGTTTATCACATTCCTTCTAAGAGATGTCTTTTGAGGGATGTTTCTCATGACCAGTGTGATTGGGAAGGTGGTAACTTAATTATCCAATCCCTGGTCATTGTTGTGAATCTATAAATACTGGAGTCAGAGATTAAAGGTTCTTCTTTCCTGTTCTGACACTGAGAGGTGTTTGTGTGCATCATTTTGTGTCCTTTAGTGACAGCCTTCCCTTCTGCACTGCTGGATCCCCAGGAGGAATTTGCAGAAGAGGCAAAAAGTCTTGTGATATCAGTGGGTGAGCCAGATAAATCAGTTGCCCATATCTACCTGTAGAAATACTGGATCTAGGAAATGAGGCAAGAGGCTTTCTGGGCATCCATAAGGGGAATGGGATCTAACAGGAATGGGATCTAATAGGAACGGGATCTAACGCTGCTTCCTCCTTGGAGAAGAGCATGAGAGGTGGCCCCACTGTGAAGCTGAACCCTACTGGCAGGACAGAGCTCCTGTCCTCAGGGCTGTGCCCAGGTTGTCCTGCTGGAACTGGCAAAATCCAGACCACAGGTCCCTGCTGGGACTCCAGCTTGTCACTTTTCCAAAATGCCCTGTAAATGATACACTTACAAAGGAACAGAGTTCTGGTACCTGTGCTTCAGAGTACTAGAGCTTTATATTAGAAATTTCAGTAAAAAGCATCAAACAAATTATAGCAATTCTTGCGTGCTATTTTTCTATCCATGAGAAACCAGCCAAACTGAAATCAGTCCAATTAATTTTACTTGGAAGTAACCTGTGAATTTCCCTCTGTGAGGAATGTTCCAATGTTCTTACTTATGGGGGCATTCTGGCTTTGAGCACATGAGTAATATATTTCTTATTTGCCTACAAGAAAACCTGTAAAAAAAAGATTCCATGTCCTGGTCTCTTCCTGTGAACACAAACATTTTCAAAATCTCTCACCTCACCAGTTTCCTACTTGCCTGGTTTTCCTACTCTTGCTTTCTAAATTGATTCCCTTTGCATCTGCCCTTCCTCAGGCCTCTTATTAACATCAGCTTTCCCTTCATGGGCTGCTTCCTTCCTCTTCTGGTCCTCTCTGCTCTATCTATCCCTCCTGCCCACCCATTTATTTTTAGCTCTTTTCTCACACCACTGCGTTGATTCCAGCCCTCCCCAGCAATTTTTAAAAGACATCCCATCTCCAGCCTACCTTTGCAGTAGCTTATACAGTCAAACATAACAAGTTTTCTCCTCTGAATAGAGGCTAAATAGAGTTAGAAAGGGACCTTTTAGACACATTCCTCACGTCTTCTTTTGGCTGTCCAGATGTGGGCAGATGTGTTGACTTCCTTCTTAGCAAACATATCAGGCTGTCTGCTGTGGATCACTTCAGAGATCTGGTAATTCTCTGAATTTTAAGAAATAAATTATATTTCCTATCAAGAGTTTCTATGGCATTTGCTCTTAAAGCTATTTCATATCTGCCTGTATCCACTATGGATTTTCAGTTTCCACATTCATATGTTAAGAGAGAAATGAAAGAAGCAAAAATGCCCTTTTTGATGCTAATCTACAGAGCTTCAATAACCAAATATTTATTTTTAATATGGTAGAGGCAGTGACCATCTTCAAATTCACAGCATTATTTCCTCCCTGAAAATTTTCACAGCACAGGAGATTGTTGCTGCCAACACATGCCAAGAAGTTTGTTAATTGTCATCCCTACCTTCCAAAGCTGTTATTGAGCCTGTAACCACTGCAGTGATAGCTGAGCTTGTTTGCAGCATGAATATTACAAGTATTTCCCCCACAGTTCTGCATTGCCTTCTGGTCCTCACTTCAGTGTTGGCTAAGCTGTCATTTACAGGAGTGATGTTGTCATTACAATATTTGATATTTTTCTGAGCGTAGCTGTCGTTGGAAGCACATTATATACTTCCTAAGGAAACTTGCCATTTATATCTTGCCATGAGGTTGGTGGCACTGCCAAGCAGCAGCTGTGGATAAACTCACCTGGTGCACCCTGGCCTGGGACAGCACCTGACAGAGGCACGTCTTTGTGTTGTATTGCACCTCCAGACATCCCAGATGTTCTGCAGTGGGCACTCTCAGGTGGTTTTTAAAGTCTATTTGATGGTAATTCTCTGAGCCTAGAGACTGGGCTGTTGATCACTGGGCTTTTTAAAGATTAGAATTGATGCTGTTTAGATTTGTTCTCATGGTTTATAGAATCATAGAATCATTTAAGTTGGGAAAGCCCTCTAAGACCACAGAGTCCAACCTCTAACCCAGCTCTGGCAAGCCTAGTGCCACATCTGCACATCTTTTATCCGCCACAGAATCACAGAAATGTGTGTTCTTATGGCTCAAACCACAACATTCACCCCACCTGTGCCACAGCAAAGTCCCCTAGTTTGCTGAGAAAGACACTGCTGACCTTCCCAGTCTGCCAGACCATTTCTCTTTCCCACTGAGAGATTTTGTTTGTTCCTCGCAGGGCTTTGCTGGCTCCAGGTTTTGCAGAGTGGTCACAAAATTTCCTCTGTTCTTCCATTCCAGCACATATCCTCACTCCAGTAACACTGATGGACTTCAGCTGGGGGAAAACAGCTGTTGAATCTTCTGCTTAATGTTTAACTCTTGTTTTTCTAAATACTGGAAGTTTCTTTGCCAAAAACAACAGTTTTGTTTGGTTTTTGTTTGTTTGCTGCTCTCTAAAAGTGGTTTGTCTGCTTAACTTTTGTTTTTTGCTATTAAAAATCTTCCTTTGCTGATCCCTGGGAGGGGCTCCAGCTGCTCCAACCTGACCATACAAACCTTGGTGAGTGAAGGTTTTCCTCTCATTTCTCTGAGAAGCTGCTTTGCCTTCATGATCCATCTCCTTCCCCTTGTCTTGATTTGTGTGACATTTTCTGTTCTTTGCACTGTTCTTTGTTCTGTGAAGAATTTCTTCTGCTGTTTTTGTGAGGATATTTTGGAGGAGCTGATGATGCTGTTTCCAGCCTCTCACCCACTCTCTAGATGACCTCACCTACCCTGACTTTAGGTTCATTTACCTGGCAGTGGCTGGTACTGCTCGATAGCATCCTGCAGGAAGATGTGTGACCTGTAAATCAAAGCCTTGTAGCAGCTGATTTATTCTTTAGTTCAAATTGAAATTGATCCTGTGCTTGTCTTACAGCTTTCACTGTCAGTTTGGTTAATGAATTAGGATTTTATTTGGGTCTGCAGTTTAGTCCCATACCCTCCCATGCAAATCATGATTCCCTCTCCCCTCCTCAGTCCATACCAGGGGTGGTTCTGCAGCTGCAGCTGATAGCAGGGTAGATGTCACCAATCTTTCACCATTTGCATTTTCATAGTCAAGTCAGCTGTTGGATTGTTTTTCCTCACAGTGGTTGATTTTTCTCAGCAGAAATCTCCCATTGTTTAGAGGAAGTCATGCCTGGGTTTTCATTAGTCTGGAGACAGCTCCAGACCTGACCCTGCCTCCCCTCCCCGGAGCTCTTTGGAGGTGTGTGATGGTAGATAAATTACAATCAGCTCACTGGAAACCTGGATATAAGCAATTCATCTGACATGCAAATTGCTGAAAATTATTGGTTGTGTAGACACTGTACTAACTCCAAATCATCCACATAACCTAAACATGAAAAACTCTGTGCAAACTGGTGCAGGGGCATTGCTGCTCCCAGCAGGACTTTGTTCTGGAAGGGAGTGCAGCTCTGGAGAAGCAACAGATGATATTAATTAACTATATTTATTATTAATTAATTCTATTTATTGTTTATGGATATTAAGGCTCATATAGGTCCTATAGGTTTATCCAGTGCAACTTCCTTGATATTTGCCTGCATTCTGGGACCACAGGAATTCTGCCTCTCCCTGGATGCCTCTCACCTTATGTTCTCCTTGGTGCTGTCTCTGGTGCTCAGGCAGCTCCACAGCTGGGAGGTTTGAATCCATGACATAAACCTATAAAATTCTCTAAAATCGAAGATTTTCCTGCTGTGACTTCACAAATTCTCAGGAGGAATTGCTGCCTGAAATAAACCAGTGGCACCCAGCTAGGAGCACATACATTATATATAGTATATATAAAGATATATATATAAGTCTATAATATATATATATTTATATATATAATTTTTATATGTATATATATATATATATAATAGTATAGTATAGTATAGTATAGTATAGTATAGTATAGTATAGTATAAATCAAGTCTCATTACCTCAAGTTAGAGGCATAGAATGAATTTCAGAATGGGTTGGGTTGGAAGGGACCTCAAAGCTCAGCTCATTCTACCCCCTGCCATGGGCAGGGACACCTTCCACTGTCCCAGGCTGCTCCCAGCCCCAATGTCCAGCCTGGCCTTGGGCACTGCCAGGGATCCAGGGGCAGCCACAGCTGCTCTGGGCACCCTGTGCCAGGGCCTGCCCACCCTCACAGGGAAGAATTCCTTCCTAATATCTAATCCAAATCTCTCCTCTTTTTGTTTCAAGCCATTTCCCCTTGTCCTTTCACTGTCTGTGGAAAAATCCCTCTCCCTCTTCATGGTGTTTCAGTCATCTAAAGAAACTGTAAAGCAGAGGCAGTGTGCTAAAAGAGTTATAAAAAAGAAGGTGAAAGCTGAAAGTTGTGTTGGGATTGGTACTGAAACTTGCTAACTTGTGTTTTCCTCCAGGGCCAAAGTTCACACTGAGCTGATGACAGTGTGGGATTTCCTGCATCCAGCAACCATCCACAGGGAAGAGCTGCATCCTTGTCAGCCTCCTCCTTCAGACCTCTGACTGAAAGACTAAGAGTGGACCAACTGCTGGAGCTCACTGTCAGATGCTTTAAATTACAATTTAAATTACAGCCTGGGGAGCAGCAGAAAGGCTTTACCTGGCTCCTCTCTTGGTAATTTTCTTTGCCAATGTTTTGGCAGTGCCCCCTTCCCCCAGCCCTCGGTGAGTGTTCAATCCTGCCATTCCAGCTGAAGCTGTGTGTGCAGCATCTGCTCTCCTCCCCCTTGGATCACATGCACAGCCTCTATTTATAGCAGGAGCGAATTTTTGTTCTTATGCATCATTCCAGCCAGCAGAAAGCAAAACAGAAGGAGAAGCTGATGGAGGAAAAATGTTCCCTCAAGTCAGATTTTCAGCAGAGACAGGAGGAATAACCTCCTGCCCTTTGCAGTGCCCTCACACCCCACAGTCTCCATCCAGAATCCTCCACTGGCCACTGGGCCATGGCCAGGTTCCTCCTGGGGGCCACCACACCACAGTAATGAGCACATTCAAATTGAGCCAAGTGTATTTAGTTTTTAGAAGACTGGCATAAGTCATCTTTATTGAATATAATTTAGTTTTAACATATTGCTCTGTGCTTGAGTTATTATCTTCACTGTGCTTGGAGAAATAAATTACATTGAAGCCTTTATTTTTGACCTGTGACATCAATACACTCCATGGACAGATTCCAAAATCTTATCAGCTTTGGCATGGCTATTAAATTACAGTGGTGAACAAACCTCTTTAGAAATGAAAAATGCTTTTGGAGCTTTGACCTTTTACATTTCAATTCGTAAAGAGCCCAGTGCAAATGGGAAATGCTGATCAAAATCCAGTTACTTTAATCTTCCGGGGTGTCCTTTCTGCAGAAGAAAAGAACAAAATGTATCTTCTTGCTTTGTAGCCCTTGAGATCTTGACACCAAACTTTGCCTGCAACTCTGAGGTTTGGTGGTGGAAGCAGAGCTTGAAAGCACAGAACACGTCAAGTCAGCCAGAGTCACAATTCCCACAAAGAAACCTGCTGCAAGATAAAGATATTAATTAAAATTGGACAAAGGCACACAGCCTTTCTGCTGCACATGGGCTGTGTCCATTGGTGTTCCAGGAGGATGTGTGAGGATCTGCAGTATTTTCACCTCTGCTCCTCTTCCCTGAGGATGCACCGAGGCTTTGGCTGCCTGAAAGATGAGGAATTGCACCCAAACTGGTATTTTATGTACTCTTAACCCAAGTATTTAAGTATTCTGAAGCCAGTACACCAAGATTTGGGTTGTTTTCTCACTTCTCCCACTGTCTTCACAGAACCATTTTCCCTTTTTTAAATATTCTGCCTGGTTCCTTGTGCAGCACATGGGGATGCACAGTCGGATGGGGAGTGACACTGGGGCCAAAGGACACAATTTAGGAACAATACTGCACAGCTCTGTGTGTCACTTGGCTGAGGGAGCTCTAGGGACAGGTCTGTACCAAAATGAACCATTATTATTCACATTAGCCATGGTTTTTTACCTTCCCTTGCTCTTTTCAGCCACGTGAAGATCAAGGTTTAACTGCCTGTACTCGTGGGGGAAGGACCAGTCTCCAAAATCTCCCAAATCTCCACAGGCAGCAGGAGATGTCACAGTGCACAGCTCTCAGGCACCTTTAGGGTGGTGGAAATTCATTCCTTTCTCATCAGCCCTCTGGCTGTGCTTGCTTTCAACACTATTTAGTGGTGCTTTCTGTATTTCTTACAACTTTTGGAGACAGACATTCTTTTCTACTGCTGATGAGAACAAAAACACAGGTTACACTGAAATTAATGAATACAGCTGGACAAAGACCCAGTTAGCTCCTTTTTAAGCTTTAATTAAAACTGTAGCACTACAGAGAGGCAGAGGAGTTTCTGGGTTGTTTGTGATGTTTCAAGTGAGTAATTCCACCCTAGGATATCCATCAGCAGTGCTCATTTAAATTCCACTTTAATCCCATATTACTTTTTCAGAGCCAGGGAAAACCTTGACATCCCAAAGAAAGGACAAGCCAGTTTCTCTTCTTGAATCAGGAAACAGGGATGGCCCCAACAGCCCAGGGCACAGAAAGGTCCCTAGAGCTGGGAATGCAGAGAAGATAATTGAGTTTACTGATGCACCAAACACGATTTACATTTCTAAATGAGTAATTATGGTCGATAAATTCACCAAGAGCAAAATGGATGCTAATTTTTTTTTGTTTTGGTATATTCTAGGTACCATGTTGGACCTAAATTATGGGCAGCAAGTGGTTAACAAGTCTGCAAGGCTGGAATGTTGGACAGAGAGTAAAATAAAGCACCGTGCTGCAGGAAAAACCTAATGTATGTAAATTGAATGCCAATTGATTAAACATATTCATTGAGGTTTCACTTCTAGGTCATAAGTAATGTATCTATTACATACTTGTTAAACCTCATTAAATAATTGCCTAGTGGTATTTAACATGCAATAAGTATCCCCTGAAATTCAGCTAAAATGTATTCCTGCATTTGCTTAGGAGCTCGCCTGAGTGAATTGATTGAAGATTTGAATAAAAGGGATCTGCTGTACGGTGGTGTGAGATATCCCAGTAAATCTGCTAAAAGACACATAGTATCTGCACAATTATCCATGTAATTCCATACAGAGGGAAGGATTAGTCACTACAGAGCTGAGCTCAGGGATGGAGAGCTGGAGTCTGCAGGACAGAAGCAGAAGAGGGGGAGACCTTGGAAGAGTTTTCCAAGGTATATGGACTTGGAGCTGCAAATTTTACTTTTATTTTCATAGGTGAAAAATGTTTGCTACAAATCTAAATGTTTATCCCCAGGTACAGGGCTCACTTGTTGCTGCTGAATTATTAGCAACGTCTTGCAGTTACAGGCTCTGGAGCGAAACAGCTCCAGTCACCTCACAAACATAAATTAAAGACTCGTGGGGTCTGTGGGAGGCAGCCACTTTATATCATCCATTGCTCATCGAAGGCATAAGCAAACTCAGGCACTGAGTTTAAATTATTTGCCTAGGCTGTCTCTGGAAAATCGATGGGGAACTTCAGCCAGAAAATTCAGACGTATGTACCTCTCACCTAGGGCTGTGCCAGGTGACTTCCTCAGCCTGGCTGTGCAAAGTGTCCCTGCTCCTGCAGAGCAGAGCCTCCAGCACAGCCTGGAAACCTCCCCTCACCCAGCACACGTGGGCTCCTCACTGCCTGAATCAATCATGAGCAGCAAACTGAAAACAAAAACAAAGCAATCCCCAGGCCCTTGCTGGGATTGTTCTTCTCAGGATCTTCCTGGAGAGCCCCTCTGAGCTCCAAGGCAAGGGGGAAATGCCCTGTTCCTCCTCACTCCTCAGCTCTTTCCAGTCCCCAGAGAGTTCTGGGGGCATCCAGCTGGAGATGACATCCCACCAGCACCTCTCCCATCCCACCCAGACCTGATCCTGCCATTAAACCACTGCAATCATCCCATGGAGCAATTCCGACTGATTCCTTGGAGACCAGAGAGACAGAAGTGTGACAATGACTAAGAACCCTAAATATCTAAGTTGTTTTGGAATTATTTTTTTTTTCTGTGATGTTTTATAGACATGAATTAGAAATATTGCTGGAACCTGTTGATTTCCCCCCTCCAGCTTTATCTAATTTTTTTAAGCTTGTAGGGAATTTCTAGCCAAAAGTCTAGTAGGAGGATGAGAGCAAACACACGGGGGAGCACTTAGACTGTAAGAGCAGAGTACTCCATCCAGCCAGCTCATGTACCTGAAATGACCATTTCAGAGGAAAACCTGGCTTTTCAAAAACCCCATTTGTTCCAAAGAGTTCACCGTTTCCCAGAAACCGAAAGCACCACGTGGAATTTTCTAAATGCCAGGACCACAGGGCGACCCGCTCTGTCTCTCTGAGCATGAAAAGAGGAGCACTTTTAGAAACTCTCAGTGTTCTCAACAACAAAGAAATGCTGAATTTTGAAGCCTGTTCCCACTAAATGCCTTTTAAAAAAAACTTTTTCTCCCAGCTCTATAGTTGGAAATGTCTTTCAACAAGCCTTTGCATTTATATTGGGTTGCCTGTTTGCCTAATCTTCGATGTCCAGCTCAGCAAACTCCCCTGTTTGGAAAGGTATCTCCTAAAATACAGATTTGAGACTTAAAAGAGGGTATTTAGTGTGTCCACCATATGAGCGAAGCACTTGGCCCCCATAATAAATTCCCTGCATTTGCAGAGTTTTTGTCATGTTTGCACAGTAAACATTTGTGAAATCGATTTAATGGTTTAATTTTTCCAGTGCTTGTGAAGATGGGTACTTCAGGAACATTGCTTAATACACAGCTAAAGCATAAACCCAGCCACTAAACAGTATTATATAATTAAATTTCTATTTAATGGTGTTTATGCCTCTGTTTTGAGGCTGGAAATGTGATATATGCACACACTTCCTAACAGGTGTGTTGTAATGTTATTAGCAGGCAGTGATGCCGACGCTTCGAGTTCCTTTAATTTGTGCATTATTAAAGAATCCTTGCCTCATTCTCACATAACAAATTCCAGAATTACCTTCACAGAGGTAAATACCACAATGCTGGAATAACTACAGCCTCTCTGCAGCCATCAGCTGTGCCACAAAACTCTCTGTAAGACACAGGTGCAGCACTTCTCCATCCTCCCCAGCCTTGCCCACAACTCAGTTTGTGTTTAATAGGACCCAAGAGAGAGCAGAGACGAGGAAAAAGAGGTTTTTTTAATGCACATACTCACAAATAGAGCCAGGAAATAGCATGGGAGATAATATTCCTCTGGCTCTTTGCTGGAACAACAAAGCTCTGAGGAGGAGGAAGAGTGTGGCTGAAGGGAGAGGAAGGCAGGCATTTTTATTTCCTGCTAAAGTGAGGAGTTAATTGAAAAGAGTAACACATTTATTATACTTATTTAATATTATTTATTATATATAATCAATTGTATTTTAATATTAATACATTTGATGACACTCCAGAAATGGGATAAAGGTCATTTAGTGAGCAACCTCAGGCACCGGGGACACAGAACTTTTAGCATTTATAGGATTATGCAGGTGATGAGTTCTGGGGTCCTTGGAACCATGGAATCATGGAATATTTTGGTGGAAAAAGCCCTCTGAGATCATCAAGTCCATGCACTAACCCAGCACTGCCATGTTCACCGCTGAACCATGTCCCCAAGTGCCACATCCACACACCTTTTGAACACTTCCTTGCAAGTCCACAGGCAGGCTATTTTGTCTACACAACTCTGGATGCTCCTAAGGCTGTGTTTATGAATATTTTCAAATGGAAAATAGAAATATCTGTCTTTCTTGCACTGATGCTTATTTTACAGTCAGCAGGGTTAATAGAAAATTGTTATCATGATGATTTAGGAATGGATTTCACAGAAAAAACAGAAAGATCTGGTGGCTCTTCCATCACGTGGTTAAAGATCTTTACATTATTTTTGCTGCAGATGGGTTCAATATCTGTAACAAAACAAGGTCGATATCATGATCTGCATTGCTCAAATATGAAAACAGAGCCCAGGTGCTCTGGGGTTATGTGTAATGCAGTGTCACATTGTGCTGATGGAGTGGCAGGTACATCACAGGTGTGAATTTCTCATTAGGAAATACAGGAAAGCAAAGAGAAACGGGACTCACTTTAATCAAATAAATGAGCTCCAAGTATGGTGGTGATAAAATGCTGCTTAATCTGATCTCATGGACAAAACTGCTCTGTGCTGTAAAAAATAATAATCATTTCTCTCCAGCCTATTACACTTCTTTGTGTTCCTGCAGCAGAGCGGAGAGAGCAGGAGCTTTCAAAAATTTCCATCTGCAAGGAGGTTTTAAACAGTCTCATCCAAACATTTCCTGGGAGAGTGAGCAGCTGCACAGGCACAGCTCCCCTGGGAAGGGAACAACACAGACAGGGCAGGGCTGGCCCTGGGATGCTCCAGGACCAGTGAGCCAAAATAAGGATTTTTATAAGGCATCAGTGAAATTATAACTCATTTCAGGAGTCTGGAGTGGAGCACATTCAAGGGATCAGCTCAGCTCAAGTAAGCAGAAGGTGAAGCGTAGTGAAAGGAAAAAGGAAACAATTTAAACTGCTCATGTGTGGAGTCAGTCTTAAATTAACTGTAGGGAGTCAGGAGAGCAACAAGGTGTCACTGCCAACAAGACATCTCTTCAGTGAGCAGTGGTGGCTGGAAAAGCAAACAAAATGTTCGTTTGCATTAAGAAAAAGCTCGAGGAAAGCACAGAATTATTCCTTATCTTTAATATGAAGTGACACCACACCATGGATCCTCTGCTCGGCTCCGCTCTCTGGTCTTGTGGGAGGAGAGAGCAGAAATAAAACAGGTCTGGAGAAGGCAATGAAAATGATTAAGTGAATAGAAAGCTGAAGTGTGTGGAAAGATTAAAATATTAGAACTATATATCTTAGACATTAGAGGAATAAGGAGCGATGACAGAGAGAAATAAAAAAAAATAGCAAAGTGATGATAGAGATATAAAAAATAGCAGAAAGTTTAAAGAAGGTAAGTCAAGAACTCCTATTCCTTGAGCAGGAGGTGTATAAGATGAAATTAAAAATCAATAGTTTAGATGTTCTTTACACACTTAGTGATGCTCAAGAGAAGACTGACATCTGTATCAGTGGTGTCCAAGTGTACACTGGAACAGTAACCTGTGACAGGTAAGAACCACCACAGTCCTGAGCTCAGCCCAGCCACGAGTTCTTGGAGTCTGAATGATCAGGAGATGTCTTAGTTCATTAATGGATTTACTGCCTCTGCCCCTGGATCAGCAGGCAGAATGAATTTCAGAGAAAAATACAATATTATGTATCTCTGCACTGAGATAGAGATCAGGGTTGGTTTTTTTTTTTTATTATTCTTTGGAATTAATGAAGTAGAAACCTCTCAGTGTGAAGTCTACAGCAACTGGAATTGTGCTCAGTGCTTGTGTCAGTAGATAGCTGAGATACATTCCAGACACCACACCTTTTCCAGCAGACCCTTCTAAGTGCTACAAGAGAACAAAGAGCAGATTTCTAAAACACTTTCAGAGCTGTCCTGAACAAAATCAAAAGTCTCTGTGTGGATGAGGGCTGGGAGAGGTGAGCTGACATCACACCAGGTACCACGAGCCAGGAAAGGCTGAGCTTCCCAGCAACAGCACAAGAAATCCTGTGCCCAGCCTCATCCCAGGGACCCTGGGCAGCTGCCCTGACTCTTTGTCATGGTGATAGAGGGATGTGAGACCGATGGGTGACACTGCCATCATCTCAGGACGTGAAACTGGTCCCACTCCCTGGTGTTTATCATGAAGTGTGTTTCACTGTGCCAGCAGCACTCAGGGCTGGGCATTTCCAGGGAATTGTTACACTTCTCCAGTGGTTTATCACTTGGCCTTTGGCCTCCTGCCTTATGACTCTGCCACATCAAATAATTACTACTTGGAGAGTTTTATTATTTAATTATGCAATCAGTTATTGCTATTTAACATG